TTTTTTTTTTTTTTTTTTCATATTTATTATTTAATTTACTAAGGCGAGTCTTGAGTGCCAAACATTATACTCGAAATGTTTTGTATGCCAAATGCAAATGCCGGTGGAAGTTGGCGCGCACACACTTGGCCAAAACTCGGTGTTAACAAAAATAAAACAGACAGCAGAATAATGATGTTGAAAAAGAAAATGAAAATTGACACGCATTGCCATAAAGGAAGTTCAAGCTGTCTGCCCCTTTTGGCAGCAGCCGCTGGGCAGGGCTTCCTTATGGCCAAAGACCTCGAATCAGCCTCAGCGTGACCTTCAAGCCAAATATCTAAGCTTTGTTTGACTTTAGTTTTGGTTAAGTGCTTTCTATTTCAAGCTGGGAACAGGAATGGACTGAAGTTTATGTCAAGCTTTCGGCGTCTAAATTAAAGCGGACCTAGCTGCTATAAATTCTCCGTCGAATTGTGGAGCTGCTCGCATACCAGAGCCTCAGTCAACTTCCGGGCTGTTTGGGAAAGAATGCGAGTGCCATAGAATTTTGTTACGCATAGCTCAACGCCTGTGTGAATGGGTCATGGCTAGCAGTTCTTACCTCTTCTTCTTGCTGTTCGCATACCAGAGCAACTTAGTTAGTGCATTCAAGTGGGTTAGTTGTGGGCGCCCAAGACTCCAAGTGCAGCTTCTCACTAAGCAATGGCGGCGAGATATTCAATTTGTATATTTAGAAATATGAGTGTGTGTGTGTGTGGGTAGCCAGAGATAATTGTCTGTCGAGTTGTCACTGTCTGTTAGGAAACTGGGAATGTGAAGTTTTTGTAGCGCAAATGTGGGCTAGAAATTCCAAAACAGTGCAAGAGAATCTCTGATTCATTGGTATACGCTATATAAATATTAAATAAATTTGTTATCTGAAAAAAAAAAAAAAATAGCAAGAGATAGAAAAAAAATTATTTTACTTACAAAAAAAATTAAAAGGTATTTATTTTTATTTATTTATTTATTTATTTATAAAAAAAATTTTATTTTTTTATTTTTTTGATTGAGCATTGATAAATAATAAAAAAAAGAAGATCAGAAATTGTTTATCTTAATTAAACAAATCAATTCTATATTTACGATCAAGTCGGCATCAAAAGAAAAACTAAATAAGATCACTAACAAATTATTTTAGAAATTTTTTTGAAATAAATTTTGAAAAGACATTGTATAATATGAGTGTAGATAATCTTTTAAAAAAGTTATTTTAAAAAAATGTACAGCTTAATACATTTAGAGCCTACATCGTAAACTGTGTAATAATATAATAAGCTGTCAGTCTTTTATGATACAAAAAATCGAATTCTGCTCCTATGAATATACAGTAGTAGTAATACCCGGAACACGCTAGAGCCGTATAAATATATATATAAATATATATCTAACATATTTGAGAATCAATTTTACCACATTTACGTATTAGCTATAAAAACAAAGAGAAGCATATAGTTCTACATATATTGTTGTCAGTTTATAGACTATTTAATGCTAGCTGGGAGAAGTGCCCATAAATGTCACAATTGATTGTTTACAGCTACACAGACCCAACGAGAGTTTTATGTGTTTGTGTGTGTGTGTGTCTGTGTATGCGCAGGCAATGAACTCTATGACTGCATTTAATAGGCAGCACAAACAAAAGACTTAGGCAACGAACTTGGCGGAACGCATGCCAAAAACTGGTTTTGGCCCAAAGCCAAAGGCAAACGCATATTTGCTCTTTTCACGCGCACAGCGGCCAGTGCAACGGTTGTTTCAGCCAGCTACCAAGCGTACGAGGTGTAGAACGACTCCCACTAGTAACAAAGCTGATTGCCGCTGTGTTTGGCTGCCTTTTCTGCCAGCTCTCAAATCTGGCTTAAGTACGAACAGCTCCTTTTCTGCTCCTCTTTTTTTTTTAGCCTTCTTTCCCATGACCGAACAAACTTGTTCGTCGAATGAGTCATGGATGTGTAGTGCCGGCACAGAATCTTCTTCATCGATCGTCGGACAGTCGCAAGTATTTCACAACTTTGCGTCTTTGCTCTCAGCTCCTTTTAGCCCTTGGCCTCAGTCTCAGTCTCAGTCGTATTCTATTTGTTAACTTGTTACTGCGTGGGAATGATGCTGCCTGGAACGTTGGCTCTTGGGACGTGCCTCCAAACGGAGATTAGTTTGAAAAGTATTTCACAACACTTCAAGTGCAAATTACTTTGGTATCTTAGCCTTTGGCCATGTCACAAGCGACGCTTGTTCAATGTAAATTGCGAGCGCGCCGCCATTTACGGATCTAAACTTAGAACCGGACCACGGCGAACGGGTTTTCACGATTACAGAATTAAAATATGTTTTTAATTGTGTTCGTTCTTTATCAAATTGGAGGGGCTGGAATTAATTATTTATGCACAATGCGGCAGACAATGGGCGGCTACTCAGAATCCGTGCCATAATCCATGTCAGAAACGAAAGACTTAAGGCACAAACTTGGCATAATTCACTTCAAAGTAAAAAATAAAACGTTTACAGTTCAGTTGGCACCCCTTAGCAGCGGCAGTGGCAGTGGCAATGGCAGTTGCAGTGGCAGTAGGCGAAGCTGCTGGCCGACTGTAACGCGTGCCAGCGTCACCTACAAGAGGTAGACGGGCGGGCAGTTGGGCTGTTGGGCTGCTGAGCAGCTGGGCAGCTGCAGGCATTGCCAAGCGTCATACACGAGTTAACAGGCATCACATCCACATCCCCAACCCCATCCAAGCAGCCARCCAACCAACCAAAAAACCCGCATATATTAAGCAAGCCAAAGCAATAAGGCACATTTAGAACATGCGCTACATACACTGAACAAAATTTGTGAATAGCCAATGTCATACACTTTTTATAATTAAATCAATAATTAATACGTACATATATATCAAATTTGTATGATCTGCCTCAAATTGAAATTAAGTTAACTCTTTATTTTTTCTGAAATTTCTCTCAGTGTATTTCATAGAAGCGGCCCTGAACAAGTCCGCTGCACTTTTGGGCTTGTTATTATTAGCAGCTCATGTCGACCATGACATTTGTTTAAAACGAAAATAAATGGTATTGCGCGAACCAGACCTAAACTAAAACTCGATGCAGACCCAGACCTATGCCCATGCCCATGCCCAGGCCTATGGCCATGCTCATATCCGAGAGGCGAACGCAGCGTAGCTTGAAATGCTTCTTTACCTGCACCATGCACAACAAATTTTCGACTAACCCAAAATTGTGAAAGCAGCTAAAAACAAATTGCCAAATGCCCAATCAAGCGATGGTCAAGTCATCTGTGTAGTAGAGCCAAAGGGAGGGCGGCGGCAGTTCCACATCGCAGTCCTCATCATCTGTCAGGCCATTCTCGTCCAAGGTGCCATTCAAATTCAAGAGGCCACAGCGCTTGGCCTGAGTGGAAGTAGAAATTAGTTGAGCCCCTCAATAAGATCTCCCTGCAGACTTACGCTGTTCGAGAACTTGCGCCACTCATAGGAGCCAGCATGATGATTGTAGCGGGACTTGTACTTCTGCTGAATGTCGTAGATGCTGTCCTCATCACACACGGTCATGTGCTGCACATGGCCAGTCAGCGCATTGATGACGCGTATGCGGCGCGGTCGTCGCGTGATGCGACCTATGTGATAAAATGGATCCTGACTCCACATGGCGTGCTTGGTTTTAGCGTACTCGCTGATCGCCACCTCCAGAATGGGTGGGAAGAGCACTCGGGGTCGGCCCGAGCTGGGCGAGATCTCGGTGCGCGGCTCACCGTTCTCGTGAAACAGATGCGTCAGATCCTTGCCAGCATGGGCCACCAGATAGTCCAGGGTCTGGAAGAGAACACAGCTATTAGATTATATAGATTTATATAAGAGGTAAAACATACGCGATTCCAGTGATCGCAGCGATCCTTGAGCATGGGCGTCAAATTGAAAACATTCTTGTGTATAACAACCCAACAATCGAATTTCTTATTATGTATAACAATCTCATCCATGAGATAATAGCGCATAGTTCGTATGGGTTCAGCCATTTTCAGTGTTCGAATAATTAAGTATATAATGGAATATATAATTTACGAATTAAATTTTTGAATATGATTTTTATATTTATTGACAAGTTTAGAAAATGTAGCTTATTATCATAGAGATTATTATATTAATAGTAGTAGGTGGTAAATAAATTGTGATGCATTTCAGCATTAGAAAAATGAGTTGTAGAGGCTTACAATAGATCACATCTTCAGTTTGATTAATTATAAATTCCCCAAAATATATATTACATTACTTAATTAAACCATTTTAATATTATAGAAAGAAATTCCCATTATATTAAATAGATTTGAATTAAAAATTATTTTAGGTTATTCAAGAATTATTTTTATACCCTGAACCCATTTTCAATGGGAAATCAGGGTATAATGGTTTTGTTGAAATGTATGTAACAGGGAGAAGGAGGCGCGGCAGACCCCACAAAGTATATATATTCTTGATCAGGGTGACGAGCTGAGTTGATTTGGCCCTGTCCGTCTGTCCGTGTGTGTGTATGTATGCCTGTGTAAGTGTGTGTGCGTGTTTCTTGTGTAAGCTGACAGGCGCGAAAAATTATTGAAATATCTATTACTCCAAGGGTTCAGGGGATCTCGTAGTCGAGCAGTCTCCACTCGAGCTTTCTTACTTGTTTATATAACACTTAAACGCACATTCAAATTACAAACTTAATGATAAAATTAAAAACAAAACAAAAATAATAAATGAATATTTTAATATTAAATTCTTTTCTTGAACAAGAAATGTTCATCAGCTTCGTAGCTCGAGCTGAACCGCTACCAATCATATTTCAAGAAACTTCACCCAAAAATCTTAATGAATTTACAATCTGAACCATAATCTATGGCTCTATGTAATGGGTACTTATATTGTTATTAAGTAAATGTTTGGTTATAAGTGCATTTGAAGCTTGTAAGAGATCTTATCCGTGGCCAGACCAATTAATCTCGGAAGTCAGCTGCAACGAGGCGTCTTCTAATTTCATTAGGAAAGACTTCGGCAGCTGAATTTCCATTCATTTCTTTTCTGCTGCTGCATACTTAGCCGGCAATTGTCAAGTCATCAGCGCCTCGCACAGCCATCAATTCGTGGTTATAAATAGAGAAATAGATTAATGATTGTTCCAACTGAAATGTGGTTGAGTTTGAGCCCCAAACAAAAGACAGTTTTATTGATGAGGCTGCTCAGCGTATGCGCGTTCCATGATATATGATATGTTTCCGAGTCGATCCGTTTAAGCTTTGGGCTATAAGCTTCTGGAGTGTGCCGTAAACGTGGGAACACTAGAACAAATATGTGCCCTTCATCTGGTATTTTCAGCATCTTTCAGCTATGACAGATGGCCCAGATGGCGCTTTAACTTCTCTCGCATATGTTGGCAAATTTCTGACTTTCTGCAAAGCTACATTTGGATTGATAAAATAACATTTGGCCTAGGATCGGCACAACCCTTATGACGTTTTTCAACCACAACCGAAAACGCCTCACTAATATTCGGATAGTCGTTTTTCCAGTTTTCCAACAGTTGGTCCTGTTATTGGAGGCTATCAAAACATAGGGCCACACGCCTCGGTATGTCTGGCGAGGTATCTCTCTATACAGATCTGACGTGAGCTGATGTTCCAATGAATTATGCCACACTCAGCAATTGCTAATGCAATCACCCTGATCCAGCCTCAGCGGGGGTGAGCGGTGCTCTTTTATCTGTTTACCCAAGCCATGTGACTGCGTCAGCTGCTGGTAAAAAAAAAGAAGTGATCACAATTTGTGGGGTGCTAAGCATTATGTAGACACACTCTGAACCCTGTGGTTATGTCTAATTGTTTTTACGCATCTAACGTTATTTGAGTACGTCATATAAGAGCTATCTAAATAAATATGATATATGGTTTGAGTACGTCAAATGTATATGATATAAAGTTACCTATCATAAAAGGCAGTTTGAAGATCATTTGATGGGTTCCATTAAGAGAGCTTTTTAATGAACAATAATGGAGGCTTGGTTGCCATTCCAGAAGTGGAAATAAAAAATTTATCTTAATTATAAGTAACAGTGGATCAGTATAAAATTATTATATAACATATTTCTTTAAAACAGTTCCTTTTATTATTTATTATATCATAAGCAAATGTATAGAAAAGAGTCGTCTAGCGTTTTAGCTATACCTATTGTCATATAATCGCCCACTCCTGCCTTCTTTAACATAAGTTAGCCTACGTCTATTGACACCTTATTCAATTGCAATTCAACAATTTTATTCTGAATAAATCAGTGAGAAATCAACGGCGCAACCAACTTTGGCTGCCAGTTATGCCTGCCATGATTTGATATATCTATGTATTTATATACATATACTATATATATACAACTTTATTTTTTTTTATGCAACTGGCGCCGCACTTTGTGTCAAGGCTATGAAAATGGAGACAACATCTCAAATGCCTCCAACTAGTTTTTATTTTATTTATTTGATTTCTTGTTTTAGCCTACGCGCGTTTCTCTTTATGGCGATTGCAATTTTAATTATTCCAGAGAGAGAAAAAAAATGCCAGCTTAAATTAAATAATGAATTCAAAATGCAGTCAGCTGCGGGCTTGGAATACCCATTGAGAGTCGGCATATTGTTTTAGTGTTCAGGTTAGAGACTTCAAATATGATATATTAAGAGCATATTCTAGTAAACAAAGTGTTTTAAAAATAGATTGAAAAAATAAAATTATATTGATATTAATTTTTGTATTCTTGGTAATTTATAACGAATTTCCTTTATATAAATAATGCTACAAAATTAATATTTTAGTTTTTATATATACCTATTTGTAGCTTATGGTATATATTAGAAATTTTTACATTTTGGCTGGACTTCAATAATTAATATAGTTCTTTACAAAATTATTTAACACGTTAATTAGTTTCAGGGTATTTTTTTGGCAGCGCACACCCGACTAGACCACTCATATATATAGTATATATATGTGTGTGTGTGTTTTTTTTTTCACTCGGTACTGCATTCAAATCGAATTGTGAATAATGTGTTTTCCTTTTTTTCTGCTTTTATTTTTGTTTTGTTGTAATTTGAAGTTTTTGTGCAGCGCTGGGGCAATTATTGCCGCTGCTTGTGGATGCTGCTGCTGCTGCTGCAGTAGTTGCTGCTGCTGCTGGCACTCAAGTGCACATTTCCTGCCATTTACAAGAGAGCGCACACACACACACACACACACACATACAATGGAGTATTTGCTTCTAGTTTTTATTTATGTTCAAAACGCACTTAATGGGTTTTTCAGCCCATTGTTCGATCTGTAACGGCAGGGGGAGCCCTGGTGCACCGTCCATGGCACAGACCCATAGCCCGGATCCCGAATTATGACCCCGTCGCGGTTCCTCCTGCAAGTGGCTGCGTCTGCGCGTGACGCACGTGGTGCCGCATTGTAGGGGTTGCTGTTAGAGTTAGGCGCAAGGGTAGCTGCCTAACTGGGGGTTGATTATGCGGCCAAGTGACCCGCAGCATTGGCTGTCGCATGTGCCTGCCACACGCAGTCAACGCCTTGACCCAAGTGCTGCCAGCTGCAGCTGCAACAACTGCTTGCCCGAAGATCAACACACACACACGCACATACACGTACACACTTGGCGTGTCAAATGGCCAACCAGCTGTTGGCATTGCCTCAGCGTAAATCAAAACACACAAATTATGCCTCATCGGAAAAACTCAAAGGTTTCCATTTCTATTAGATTTTCTCGACGCGAACATATGCGCAGCTTCACAGTTCAACTGCGAACAATTAGCGCACTCACACCCTCATTCGACTGCCCGATGTTGGCTTAGCCTTCAAATTGTCCACAAGTGTCAGCATTTTCACCCACAGTCCAATATATGCAAATGAGGCTCATTCTAAGTCAGAAGCATTCCACAATTTTCAGCTGCAGCTGTCCCCATTGTGAATAGTTTTTTGTCAGGGGGTGAACTATTGTAATACGCTGAGTGGCCACAAAGTGGCTGAGAAGGGCTATTAAAAAGTTGCAACAATAAATTGTAAAGGTCTAATTTACATTGCATTCAATTTATTTAAAATTTGTCTGCAGACTGCATAAACTGTAGAGAATATAAAAAAA